TGCATAAGAAGCCTCACAAGACATAACTCACCACACAATGAATGACATAATTATAGCTCTAAAATGGGTACAAGCTATTTGTGAGATTAAAGCTATTTATAACCCGTTGTTGGTCTTCATCAACTCCTGGTGTAGCACTGTAGGATAGACCCTGGACTACGAACCACAAGGTCATCAGTTCAAGCCCACCAGCTACTGATTGGAAACCCTATACAAGGTTGCTATCAGTTGGAACCAACTCAACAGCACTTAACAACAATATTGGTCTTTATGGGAGCACAGTGGCTCAGCAGGATAAGCACTTGATTGTGAACCACAAAGTTGGAAGTTCGAGCCCACCAGCTACACCATGGGAGAAAGATGAGGCTTTCTGATCCTGCAAAGATTTGCTGTTGTTAAGTGCTGCTGAGTCAGTTCTGACCCATAGCAACCCTGTATAGGGTTTCTGAGGAGCAGTTGATGAGCTTGAACCACCAACCTTTTGGTTCAAACCAACTTTGTAGTGCAGCACATTAACACACAGTACCTCACCAAAATTCCCTGCAAAGATTTACAGCCTCAGAAACCAAATACAAATTTACTATGAATCAGAACCATCTTGAAGTCACTTAACAGCAACAAAGGTCTTTGTTCATTCTGCATGTCAATAATTTACAAGATTAAATGATAAAAGGAAGCATTGTTATAGAGAGAAATAATACATGGGGGCACCTGGGTTCTGTTCTCATGAGGTCCCTTCTAGCTCAAATGTCTTTCTCTTAAGTCTTCCTTATTTTTTCTTCATCCATTCATCCATTCGCCCATCCATTCATCTACCCATCTCACACAATCTACTGAGTCCCTATGTATAGATTAAATTTTAGAAATATTACAGGCATTACAAGGAACCATGGTAGTATAGTGAATTACAAGTTGGACTACAAACCCCAAGGTCAGCAGTTCGAATCTACCAGCAGCTTCTCGGGAGCAAGATGAGGCTTTCTGCTTCCTTAAAGATTTATAGCCTCGTAAACCCTTTGCGTCAGACTGCAGAGCCATTTGAACGGTGAGGTCGGTGGTTCAAGCTCACCAGCTGCTCCCTAGAACCCCTACACAGGGTCGCTTTAGATTGGAATCGAGTCGACTTGATGGCACTTAACAACAAACCCTATACAGCAGGGAGGGGGAACGTTTCTTTTGCCAAAACTTATAACATCATTCATAGACCATTCAAAATTATCAACTTAAAAACTAACCTGCTATATTTGGTTAAACATTTAATTCTCTGGTAGCATAGTGGTTACGAATCGGGCTGCGAACCTTAAGGTCAACAGTTTGAAATTACCAGCCACTCCGCAAGAGAAAGATGAGGCTTTCTGCTCCCGTAAAGATTTATAGCCTTGGAAACCCTGTACAGGGTCGCTATGGGTCAGAATCGACTCGACAGCACTTAACAACAACAACAATGTGATGGCTAGGAGCCCTGGTGTGCACTATAGAATAAGCATGGGACTGAAAGGTAGGTTTGAACCACAGGATTAGTGGTTCAAACTCATCAGCCGTGCCTCAGATACCGTACACAGGGTCGCTATGAGTTGGAACCGACTCAGTGGCACTTAACAACAGCAATGTGATGGCTGGAACTGCCTCAACAGGGCCTGAACAATAAACAACATCCATGTAAATGGAGAAAACACTGAAGTTGTCAAAGATTTCATTGTCCTCAGATCAACCATCAACTTTTATGGAAGCAACAGTCAAGAAATGTAATGGCATACTGCATTAGGCAAATCTGCTCCACAAGAC